TTCAGTTGGATTTTTATAACGTTTGTACAAAACTGATGGGTATTATTAAAGTTTCTCCTTCTACCTTATATTATCGGTCAATTGTTTGCTTTATAAAAACTTATTAGATCATTTTACTTTAGCAACTAATTACTTATAAAGTCAATGTTTTAAAATACCTTATAAATATTAATTGTATATATTAAATTTCAAAATATTTTTATTGCTTGAACTTAAATAATTGATTATTTTAAAAATAAATAAGACATTATATTATATATGTATATTAATAAAAAATTAGATATGAAAGTTGACTGTATTGTAACTAGGTACCAGTATATCAATTTGTGTTTATACATTTATATTTATACATTTGTATTTGAGTTACTTAACTACATTTTTATAGTCCACATGTCTTCCATCAAATAATCGTAATGCATTTTATATGTACTTAAATATCGGGTCAACTTTTCTAAGCTACGCTTTACTGGTTTTCACATTCTTTGTTTATTTATTTTTTTATACTTAGTTGTTTTGTGATGTGATATTTTATATTTTATTTTGTTATGCTTTTCAATTGTTATTTTTTTATTTTGTGAGTTTTTCATAAAAAGATTTTTAATATTTAACTCATTTAAAATTTTCAACTACATCTATACTCAAAATTAGTTCAAAATATAAAAGTATCTCTCTTTTATAATTCTGCTATTGTGATATATTTATAAATCTCAACATTAGAGTCGGAAGTAATAGCAATTATTAAACTGTATTGTTAGGTTACAAATTCACAATTGAATGAAGATTTTTCTATGATTATTAATATTGAATTTACATAAACATTTGAAATTTTATTTGAGTATATGAAAAATCTTATATTTAATCAAAATTGTTCATAAATATGTTATAATAGAATTCTAATTTGGTGTTTGTTGGTCTTTGAATTTTCTTTAGAACGAAAGGTATCTATTAAATTTATACAAATGAATTAGTCTTATTTAAGCTTGTGGTTTACCTATCACATATGTTTGCTTATGTATATTTTTATATATGTATGTTATCTGTCAAAGGAAGCCTTATTAACGTCACTAACTTGTATTGTATCTTTATATATGGTTTCTCCTTAGTTTGGCATTATCCTGTTTGGATAAACAAAAAGAAATATGAGCATTTTTACAGGTACAATAGAATTTAACTAAGTTTTGAGTGCGGTAAGGCAGGCAATCCTAGCGTATTTGATATACTTGATTAAGAAAAAAGGAAAAAGAATTGATTTGTAAAGTAAATAATCAATTTTCTATATTAAATTCTATATAAATCTAATAGAATAAATAGAAACGTAAATATGTTAGTATATAAGACGCACGCCAAAATATTTTAAAAGTTTTTTCTTTTGTTTTTAATACAGTTTTTTCTCAGGCTAAAAAACACTATATTATCTTTTGGTTAAAAAATAAAAAATATTATTTATATTTTTCTATATATGAATGTCAGTCTTTATAATAAATGTTAAAATCTTAATAGAATATCTACTAAGTTATTAAAATAGTTGGAATAATTTTATATTGATGATATTGTATTGATTTGATTAATTTTATAATTAACATAATAAACTATTCAATTTTGATTTATTCCTCGACCTAGTTGATAGCTACTTGGTCCTAAGAATACCAAGTTCATTTGTATTACCAGTATAGCGCAAATAGTTTTCTATAAAATGTAGATTTTTATTTCAAATAATATCGTATGCTACACATTTGTACTTCATACGATGCTTGGAAGACAATATCTTCTTAGACCGATCTTCTGAAGAATCGGTCTGTCTCAGACTGTGTAAAGCGAAAGTAAATATAATAATGAATGCATTTCTCAACAGCTGCTTCAGTTGCATATTATCCCATTGAAGAACGCAAACCTTACCAGTTCTTAAAGAAAAACTTTATTATGTTTTCAAATTATATATTATATTCGGAATTATTGAATTGGTTTTAGTAGTAGCAGAGCATTCAATTTTGTCAAAATAACACATAGACTTTATATATCCGGATAAAATGTAATCAATAAATAAGATTATTTGTGAAAGATGTGTGTTTGAGATGAGCGCCATGACATTTATATAGCCAAGTTGTTGAAAAGAAAGATAATAATTTGGAAGCGGTTTTTATTCAATATATTAAATGCTTTTAATATCAAAGAGGTAAAGAATAAGAAATTTTTTTCGTAAGTAAAATAAATTAAAATTGTAAGGTAACACAACAAAAAATGAATAAATCTAAATTAAAATTTTATTTTTAAGCCCATTTCCTTGTGTGGTTTTTATTGGATTTTAAATATTATAGGTTTTTACAAAGTATGCCTTTTGTGTAATCACGGAGAATGTAACTTTAGTTATTATAACTTGGAAAGTTCTGTAATTCCTATGAGGGTCTACATAATTACATTTACTTATGAAATGCTGAAAGCAATATTTGCATATGATGTTTATACTTGCTGATACAATTTATAATGCACTTTTTATTTAATACTATTTAATGTGCTATATGTCTACATTGTTCAAAAGATTAAAATTTTAGATTGGTACTCATGATTGCACTTGTCTATTTAAAAAATTATTAGTATTATTATTAAATGTAGAAATAATGTTCTAAATACATTTGACAACGTATTTATTATCAATATCTGTTTGCATATCAATAAAATTTAGAAACAAAATACAATGAGTGTTAACTAACTTAATATATATTTGTTATATGTATATGTATTCTAACTGTTTTTTTTTTATTTATAGATAAAATGATGTATCATTTTAAACATTTTTGGTAAAATCTTTAGTGTAAAATATTTGTGAGTTTTTATGCTGTTTTATTTTTTGCCTTTTCTCTGCAAGAAAAGAGGTCTAAGCAATTAACTTTCTACGTTTTGTATTTTTAACACGTACAAAATCACTTTCAGCCAAAAAATTTCATTTTTCAAAGTACAACAATAAAACTCAGATACAATAAAAGTACTGAGTACTTTAACTGCTCTGAAGTAGCATCATACCAGTACGATGAAGAGATAAAAAAAATGTCTCTGTTAACGAACCTGTTTAAGGCAATTAACAAACCCACTTTTGCCTAAAAAAATAATAAAAAAAATATATAAAAGCATTCAGCAAGAATTTAAGAATAATGCGACTTTTTTTCAATTCTTACGAGTATTTACAATCTTTATATACAAACTTCATTGAGTATCTTTACCGTATTATAACCGAGTACCCACAGTACAAATGCAACCCATAAGCATCTTTATCTAAGCATAAGCATTGCTTAAACGCACGCATGCACAACAACACAATTGCTTTATTTATGTTTAGTTGTAGTTTTGAGATCTGTTTACACACAATATCTATTCTTCCTTCAGTATTCATTGTTGTCTCCCAGTCAGCATAAAAAATGAAAAATGAAAAATGCCACAACCTGATTATTTCTCTCGGCTTAGTTACTGCTTCGAATTTAGATACCATAGGTTTCTTCTACTGATTCCAGGTATATTGGCGCTTATGTGTAGTGTATGTGTGTTTTCCCATAGGCTTGCATTGATTAGGTTTAGGTATAATTTTTATTCTTTTTTTTAAACTTTTTATTCTGTTTTGTGTATAAAAATAGAAGAGCTTAAAAAATATCTGTTTGCTATTGAATTTCTTACATAGTTCATTTTAAGGAATTTTTTCTTTCGAAGACATTTGCCGATTACTGCCATTGAAGCGTTTTTGATCATTTTATATAATTGTATCTATGTTAAATCAATTTTAAAATTTTTAACTTATTTTATTCACACAAATTTCAATTTAAAAGTAATTATAGAGAACTAAAGTTTTTGTTACAAAAATTTTATTCTAAAATAAAACTATTGAAATGCATGTCAGTTTAAGTATTTTTTCCGTTGTCGTATAATCAGCTTAATTATTGTATCTAACATAGATTATTTAATTTAAACATAAATTATTTTGAATTGATTATATGATATAATTAATTTTAATATGTAAATATTAAAATATACGTCATATTATTGACGTATTTAATTACTTCAATATGAGAAATGTGAAATTAGTTATTAAAAAAAGTATAATATTCAGACCGAAATAATAAATTATTCTGAATAATCCTAACAAACTGTTTGGTTTTACGAGATTTCGCAAAATTGTAAAGAAAGATTGAATGTCTCATAATCAGCCACTGATACTCTGCTACTTTATGAATTTTATACACTGTGCAACAAGTTGAAAAATGGAACAATCAGATGTTTTAGAATGATTCTAGATCAGTCATGTACATCAAATTAGTAGAGTCGAACAACAGTTATTGAAACAAAAAAAACTTGTCATATTTATAATAGTGGTGCTCAAGAAATTGTACTAATGAATAACATAAGATCTACAGAACTACAGAACTCGTGTTGGAAAAAATTTAGTCTAGATGGATGAGCTCTATATAACTAGTTCTAACTTATTATTTTAAAAATATCATTTTGGTTTTTTTTGATAAAAAATAGACCATTTGCAAATGCCTTGTCTTCACACTGTAAAGTGTTTATTATTAAATTGCATATTACCAGTATTAGCTACCCTTTAATAAAAGCATAATTAATAAGGAAAATACGAGTATATTAGACAAATTTGAAGAAAAAATAGATGTAATTTAATAGTAATTCAAAATTATGAACTTTTTTACGAATATTTTTTTTTCTTTATCTACTGCATAAATCACAGAGATTTTCTTATTACAAAAGGTATTTTTAAAATAAAATATTTTTAGTATAAAATCACTGTGGGAGATGCCATAACCGAATAGTTAAAATTTCTTTTTTTCGTTTATATCTTTAATTAGCTTATTTTTTATTTTTCTTTTTTAATTTTTGTTACTTAATTGGAGAAATTATAAATAACTTTTTTAAAGCAATAACGAAATATTTTAAAATATGTTATTTACTATTTATATATAACTTTGTAATCATTTTTAATAACAAAATATTTTATTTTACAGACTCAATATGCTGAACATATGACTTCTGAAATTAAAGGTAAACATATTACTATATAAAATATTATTTTTTTAGATATGTGATAAATGTGTAAACTTTGAACTTATATAAATGTGTTAACATAAGTTTATTACTTTTTTGTAGGAATTTAAAATAAATTTAATTTAGTCATATAATAAAACTTGTAAATCTCGTATATAATCTATCGTTCATGCTCATTATCAAAAACGTAAACTATTAATAACTATTAATTTTATATCTGATTACATTTAAGTAGTCATGTAAACATCATTATTTAATTTCAGATAATTTTAACCTGATATTAGCTTTTAATTATATAAATTGTTTTTGTTTGTAAATTGTTTTTTGACTAGCATTTACAGTATTCAATATGTCTTTAAATAAAACTAAGTGCAGGGTCAAACAAAATATTCCACTTTAATATGAAAAATTTATATAGGTCTTACAAGTGCTGTCAATTATTGAGTTTTACATCAGTAGGTATATACGTATAAGTACATATAGAATTTATTTTACTATTTAAGTTCTTGACTTAAAATTGACTTGAAGCATCGCTGATTTAATACTTTGCGTGAGAGTACGACCTCGACACACTTAGCTTACTAATTTATAACACTACGGGTACATATAAAACGCTCTAAGTATTGAGCAGTGAGCCGCATCTTCATGTAAGACGGACTGCCAATGGTCTACCAGATTTTTCTAGTAATCACTGCTATTTTTTATTCTTAAAGTTTTAAGGTCAATAAGGGAGATCTAGTCTAGTGAATATTTAAATTAATCTTATATTCTACTCAATTATTGATTTCTAAAAAAAATTGTTTAATTGTTTGCAGTGTTAAGGGTGTCAATAGTGTATTTAGAGACGCCTTCTGAGAAAACTCCATTTCAACATACACTAAAGATTTTTGAATGATATTTAGACGAAATATTTCATGAAATATATTTAAGTCCTGGAAAGTCCCGTTAAAAGTTTTACCAATTAAAATTCAAATGTCTTTATTTGTGTTAGGCACAATTTCTTTTTGACATACGAGTAGAGATAATATATGGTATTAAATTTGTAATTTTTTAATTTAAAGATAAAAAAAATTGTATAGCATGTACACACATTACAGATGCTCAGTGAGTAGCTTTCATTAAAGTGCCAAGAGTTGTTTACCGCGTATAAAGTACATTTTTCCTCTAGAAGTTTTTTTAAGCTTTCATTAGAAATTGAACTTATTGTACTTTATTTAGTTTGAAAAGATATTGATTGGACTTTCATTGTCTATAATATTCCTAAAGTGTTATAAATGTAAATTATTTGTTTTGTGTAAGCATTTTGTACCTATTATATATGGTTCTTATTATGATAAATAGATATAAACTTGTTGAAAAAAGTAATATTCGTACGTCAAACACTTTCATTAGTTATTGGTTTAAAAAGTTATTTTAGTTGTGTTATGTATTCCAATACTGGATTATTACTTAAACTGAATTATTGTTGAATACTTACTATCCTACTTAGTAAATTTAAGTAAATAGTAATTTATTTAAATAAATATGTCATCCGTATGTCACAAAAATATCGTTAGCGACTTAAAAAAAATAAACATAAATACATAAATTTCTATTTATGGATTTATTTAAATAATTGAAGTACCCAAAAGAGTATTATTTAGTTTCATATATCTATTGCATCATAATTTCTTAGAAATTTCAAAAATGTTACCCAAGAAATCTAATATTCTAAGCTGATATAGAAAATTCTAGAAAATCGTGTATTGTGACTATTTAGTTATTAAAAAAAAATTATAAGTAAGTCTTAGTATAATAATTTAATGCCTAGTAACAAAATATATAATAGTAGTTCTATAAAAACTCAACTGTAATTATATCATTGTTGTTGTCACTTTAGTAAGATTGCATTCAGTACGACTAATTATTCATTATTCATTAATAACCGACACCAATAATTTACTTCTAAAAATGAAAATATCTTTTTCTTTATATAAGTTTTTCTTTGAAGTTGTTTAATTATTCATTGAAATATATATGCAAAATAATTACATAGGTATACGTATTACGTACTAGTAATATAAAAAATTAAGTGTTGCGGTTATAGTCTGCGAATATAAAAAACAAACATAAAAATTATAAATTTAATTATAAACAGTTTGCCAGTTGCTATATATGTTTTATTAGTAATATTTATTCTGTTCATTTATTTATTAGTTTATATATCTTTTAATGCAGTATGATTTTTATAACTTCCTGCAATAATTTTTTTTAATATTTGAAGTTGATAATTCATTTTTATTTCACTGTTTTCCTATTTGGTTACCTGAAAATTTTCACTTGTAATGCTTGAGTAAATCGTCATGAAATTAAAAAATGTATAAAAACGTTAATAAAAATTGTACAACAAAGTAAAAGCATGAAAATATGATGTAACTTGATCGAAATCTAAACGAAATCTGCTGTAACAGACTAAAAATATTTTTAAAAAAATTGTTTAAAAATTTTTACACATAATATATAATACAACAAATATTGTACTAATAAAAAGTTAATTAATAAGTTAAGAATTCTTAATATAAAATACATGGAGGGTGCATACGATCTTTTGTAATTAGAATAATACTATTTATTAATTATAAAACAAGCAAAAATTATTACTGGCTTACATCTCACATTTGCACTGCCCGGTCTAATAAGCATTATAGGATATTTTGTAGGTTATAGCTTGATATTTCAATATATACATTATGTAGTTTAATGCGTGCGTGTTTATATTTCTTGTTAACTTCAAAACATACGAGTACATTTTTCTATAAATAATTTATAAATTTTAATTTTTACAAATGTAATTAGAATGCTATCACTTTAAAATTTAATTAAATTTAAAGTGGTGTGAATTTCTAATCATCCACTCTTCACCTTAACTAATCTATCTTCAAGCCTCAATTACTCTCAGAAGATATACGACTACCTTTTCAAAGTAGTAAGACAGCCTTGCTATGGTTTCCATATACAGGTCGTTTAAACTGGCAGAGTTCTAACATTGACTTGATTGCTACACTGCCAGGACTATTATGCCGACAGGATTGTTACATTGACATCGTTGTAACACTCACATGGTTGTTATACTGACTTATTTGTTATACTGACAGGTTTGGTGCATGAATAATGATTTTACATTGCTTAGGATAGTACAGTGACTTGATTGTTAAACTGACAGGATTATTAGCAATAAGTTAAATTATTAATGACGCTAGTAATCTTATAATGTGTGTTTATTATACAAATTTACTAACACATATTACAGAAGTCGTACACCAGCACACCATTAGGTAATAGACATTCAAAAATACAAAACACCAGACAGAGTTATATTATTTTGAAACAAAATCGGAATTATTTTATATTAATGTCTAGTATCTTTTTTCAATTTATTTTGTATGGTAAACTAGCACTTCATTTTTTTTGAGGTGACTACTGACTGCTTGCATGAGTGGACAGAAGGTGTTTACGTTGAAATTGAAGTCAATGCAATTTAGAACTGCAATTTATTTGCAGTGGAACATATTAATTCTTTTTAAGTGTTTTATCTTAATAAGTTCTAAAGATATAACTTAATTTTTGAGTTTTGTTAAATTTTTTTTTTCCATTCCATATACTCTTTCAAAAATTATTACTGTTTCTTTGTAATAAGATGATTGCATTTGTGATTAAACCATATTAGCTAAAATCTCTTTAATTCAGGTTTCGGTTATTTTATTAACCATAACACTGAATTTATTATTTTTTAATTATTTTTTTTTTATGAGAAAACAAATCAAATGTGGGATTCACAAGTGTTGGGGGTTCTGGCTGATTTCATGATTTCAGTCATGACATAAGCTGCTTCTTTTCAGTACACTTGTAGCTTATCTGAACTTAAATTCTTTCATAATAAATTGATTATATATTCTTAATATGGACTGGACACCTAAAGTGCATCAACCTCACATAGAGTACTTTCAAAATTTTACATATCTTAAAACTTTAATGGGGACATTTATTTTGGATGTCGTTTACCAAGTTAGCCTGTAAAATGCTGGTTCGCAGTAATTATTGACTCTCTTTTCTTAGAAGTGACTTGAAGTAATGTTTATTAAATACTAAGTTATATGGTATTTAAAAGTGGTTGTATTTTATTGTCAATCATATGTGTTTAAATAAATTCCTGATTCGCTTTATAGGCCAGTGTATGATTTTAATGCATTTGATATTTTTAAACTTGTTCCAATACAATTAAATTAAAGTATGTTAATTCCAAACTTGAACTGCATGTTCGAACTCCCAATTGACCCATTTATTGCCAAAAATGCAGTTTTCGATTTATAATTATTTTTTTTTTAAATTTAATTCTGCAAAAATATTTATTACACTGTGTTAACATAATTAACAAATATACATACATATATATATATACAACAGGTTTATTTATTTTGAATAATTTAAATTTGCTTATTCGAAAGTTATAAATTATTTATGTATTAACTTTGATATATAATAAAATTATATGAATTGTTGTCGTTGGTAAATGTATGAATTGTGATTAAAGAAATTATTTTTATCGTTTTTTCGAATAAACGCCACACAGTCGGTAAATATCGGAGAACAAAAATAAACAAATGCGATGATCAAAGTAAACGCTGACGTCTTCTTATCTGGTTTTAGGCAAAATTTATGCAAATTTATGCTATATCAATAATATGGAATTATGTACATATATGTATGTAAGGTATATTGAAAAAATATACATATTACGAAAATACGAAATTGCGTACGTTCATTTTTTTTACTTCCAAAGCACGAGATTAATTCGTAAATCCCTTAATACGTAATACAAATAATATTTAATTATAAGAAATTTGATTTGCTTATTAAAACTATTTTATGTTTCATGTGATTTGTTTAATATTATAATCAAAATATTTGCAACTACTTCTTATATACTTAATACTTTAATATATTTAAATAGGTTAGGA